CTTTTCTGGACCGAGTGCCCAAAGTGCGCATGCATACGCGCAACCGCACCCAAACCCCCAAATGCAATGCATGCACAGGCCCCACCCATGTGCCCCGCTCATGCACATGCAGCCCCCTGCACATGTGCATGCACCCCCCACACCCCTGCTCCATGAATGCATACACGCCTCCCTGCATGGCCTCTCATGTGCATGAATGAGCAACCCCCGCACATACCCCGCCTCCTGTGCATGTGCGGCAGAGACCCCAAAGACCAGTTGGCTGGTGGGAGGTGCACGTGCATGCACAGCGGAGCTGAACTGGGGTGATGACTCATGTGCCCACAGAGAGGGCACATTCGCCATCACAGACCTATTCTATATACCTGTGCATTTGGTTTTTCTTACCTATATGTAGAACCTTACTCCTGTCACCACTGAATTTCATTTTGTTAGATAGGGCCCAGTGTTCAAGTCTGTTGAGATCCTGAGTCTAGCTTCTGGGGTGTTACGAGTTTAGTGTTGAGTGCAAATTTGAGTTCCCCTTCTATTCCCTATTTAAATCATTTATGAATATATTGAAGAGTACTGGGCCTCAGGCAGAACTTTGGGGTACCCTACTGCTTACCTTCCTCCATATAGGTATACAGATAGTCCTCAATTTATGACCACAATTGAGCCCAAAATTTCTCTTGCTAAATGAGGCAGTTAAGTGAATTTTGCCCCGTTTTACGACCTTTCTTGCCACAGTTGTTAAGTGAATCACTGTAGTTGTTAATAGTTAGTAACATGGTTGTTAAGTGAATCAGGCTTAACTATTGACTTTGCTTGTCAGAAAGTCACAAAAAGTGATCACATGACCCCAGGACACTATCATAAGTGTGAAAAATGATCGTAAGTTTTTCAGTGTCAGATCATAAGTGCCATTGTAACTTCAGTCACTAAATGAACTGTTGTAAGTCAAGGACTACCTGTAGTTCCATTAAAGACTAGACATTGAGTGCACTTGGTCAGCCAGTTACAAATCCATCTGGTGGTGATGCTTGTATATCCCACATTTTTCTAACTGACTAAGAAGTAGATTGTGGTCTACTTTATCAAATGCCTAAAAAGTTTTAAATTTTGGATTGAAAATTAAATTATTTTGCCACTTTTTCAGTACATTATTTGCTATTTTAAGCTAAGCTTTCAATGAAAATTGTAGGATTCAAAATCTAAAGTAATATAAAGTAAAAACACTATCACAAGATCCCATAAAGTCCAGACCGCCCACAGCCATCTGTGACAATATTTCATTTTTCTGTAACAAATGTTCACATGACTTAAGAAAACTAAAACAAAAGAATCATTGATTTAGTTACATGTTAGTGATTTAGGCTCGAGCCAGAAAAAAGAGAATGTTGAAAGATTGATATTGATATTGTTCGCTGTGCTTACACTAATTTCTACTGCCATGGTATAAACTCAGATAAAAGAGAATGCTTGCCTTCTCGTGTGTTTCATTAATCCTACAAGTCTGTTTAATAAAGTTTGATAGTGAAATTGGCCAGTAAAGGCAAAATAACTTTGCTGTAACACTTTTATATTTATTAAAATTGGAGCCAAATACTTACTTAAATGTGCTAACTAAAGCCACCTCCCCCAACCTGGAGCCCCCAAGATATGTTACCATAGAATTACAGTACTCCGAATTTCAGGCATACTACTCAGATATATGTAATCTTATTAAACTTGGAAGGCACTAAGTCGGGAAAGGTTGAAATAAATAAATTATTTTAATGTAATCATTTATGCGGATGCCACAATTACATCTGAAATGAAGCAGAATTATTTACTCACAGACCAGTTTAGGGATATAACTTTGTTTCAAAACAACTTCATTGTATAGTTTTAAAGACTGTTAAAAAAATTATATCAGGTTCATATGCTTCTACATTTGCTCAAGCTAAAATTCATAAAAATAAGGAAACATATTTTAACATCCTGGTTGCAACACTAATCTATAGTTTGGAATTACATGACAAGCCTGGCTTTCGGTTTCTTTGGCTGAGACAAATGGAACATTTCTACTTTCAACTTAATTGTAGTATGTAGTTAGGTCCAAATCTGGTTACTTTTAATTAGAGTTTATCAAAAGATGCTAGGAAGAGGAATGATTGTTTATACACGGTCAAAAGATAGTTCCAGGTTTCTCTTGATATTGACGAAATGGCAAATGGTAATTGGCTGAAAACAGTTTCTTCTCATTTTTTTCTTTTAGCCATAAAAAGGGAAAGTGGATTGCATGAACAAGATGCTTGAGTCCATCAAATTACATTGAGGTATATTGTTGTTTTTGAGCACGAAACTTGAATCAGTGATAAAGCTTTCCCACTGCATATTCCACATTTGATCAGTGAGCTAATACCAGAAAGATGAATAATCTAGATCATGCTGGCAGAGCTATTAGCAGTTTCTTAAACATGGAAGTACTCACCTAAAGTGAGTAGATCTTCTTATCCAGATTAATTTGAAGGCCATCTGCCTGGTTTCAAAATTAATCTAATTTAAAAACTGGCCCTAGTCTAGTCTGCACTTTGGACTGCTGAGGCACAGCAGAGAAATCGGTGTGCTTTCTCTCACAGCCCTCCCCTTTCCATCTTCAGTTTGAGGTCTATATTGGAAGAGTTTCAAGAAAGTACTTGCTGAACGTATGTAGGGAGGGCCCTCTCCTTTTTTTCTTTGTTTCTTGTATGTCTCTTACACTTAGTTCTCTCCCAGGTCTCCTAGGTACACTCTCAAAGAAATTAGAGTGAGACCAAACCAAAGGCAAAATTAATAAAAGCTTGGAAAGAGTTGAATCAGGCAGATGGAAACGAGTATGAATAAATTTGATTGTTCTAACATGGATTTTACACCTCTGATTTAACTTAGTATAGGTAGCCATTGCATAATGACTATTGGAAGTTACAGTGGACTCTACAAAAGTTACTTACGATTCATCCTCAAAAATACTACTGCTGTACCGCCTCCAACAGCCACATGTTCACAAATTGGGCATTTGTCAACGGCTCAAATTTACAACCAGTTTCAGCATTCTGCAGACATGTGTCCATCATTTGTGACATCTTTTACTGGTTTTGCTAATTTCAGGCATTTTTTTCCTAGTTTCTGGCCAAAGAATGCCAATTTGGGTTTATGGAGTTGTTTAAAGACCATGTAACAACTATGGTGCTATTCACTTAACAACTATGGTGATTCACTTTACAACTGTCATAAGAATGTAAAATCAAGTCATTTGGCAACCTGTTTATTGATGGGGCTCAATTGTGGTTGTTAAGTGAGGCCTTAACCTTATGTGTATTATGCTTCATACAATAAACAATCATTTTTCAAAAAAATGGAAAAGTTTAAATAAAATTATTAAAAGCCACTCTAAATTTTGTTTTGCTTTAATCTAGAGAAATGAACAAAAAAGTATAATTAATATTTGACTTAAGTGGAGCTTTGACAATGATGCTTTCTTGTTTCTCTAAAACGCTTGATGCAATTTTTTTATAACACTGATGATTCTATAGAAAAAAATATACATTTTTCTCTATAACTGGCCAAATTATGCACATAAATAGAATAATTTATATTGCAGATACACACATTTTATCATTAACTTGAGACATAGTCTTACATAAATCTGCCTACACTGATTAAGCAACTGCCCATCATCTCCCAGTCGGGAAGCCATATGGTACAATAAATAACCCATGCGAGGCTTTTCAAGATTACACTAATTTTTTGTTGGATGTCTAATTTCATATGATTGCTGCTAAAAAAAATCCATATTCATCTCCTGTATCTTACCTGGTCTGGTTATAACTCCTAGAAAACAACATGAGAAGATATCTCACACATTCTGGGCTTATGATACATGGAGTGCGGGGTGGTGGGGGGTGGTGGTGGAGAGACACAACAGGATGAATTGAACAGCTTACTATTAACAGCTTAGAACAGGGCCATATGCCACGCTTGGCTGCTCCAGTAGTTTGTCCCAGCCAGTCTGACCACTCTAAGCTCCTCTGGAGTTTTGGCAAAAGAAGGAAGAATGGCAGAAAATGGAGTCAAGAATGGAGCTGTCTCTAATATATCAAATGTGCACTGCAGTGAATGAAAATGGTAAAAGCTCCTTCAGAACTGAGGAAGGCTAGGCCTGGCCTGGCAGAAACACCATGCAAAAATAAATATCCTTAATGTCAGCTGCAATCTTATGCAAATTTGCTTAGCCAGAAGCTCTATTCATTTTAAGGTTAAATAATAAATTTTAGTATCTTGGGGGGGGGGTTAATAAAAGCATAACTTTATCAGGGGCAGGGGTGGATTGTCCACATCAGGGGCTCATTTATATATTACATAAGTACTCCCATCCACACCAAAATCTGGTGAGGCTACCTTTCAGGTACACCCTTTAATACAACCTTGGTGTTTTCTTGCTGCCTATCCACTCATCCTCATACATTTGGCATAAAGATGGAGCTCTCCCCTCCAGGAGCAAAGCCAGCGTAGGTATTAAGGGTCCCCTCCTTTTAAACCTGATTCTGTCGACTGCAGTCTCTCTCTTCCTATTACGAACAGAACAGCCAGGCCTGCTGGGGAAAAGGGAAGAGAGGGAGAAGGGGCGCTCCTAAGACAGCTGCTCACTAGTCCCCATTCTTTCCCTGGACATCTCTCCCTGCGCAACAAGGCAAGCCGGATTGTTGGATTGGGTCACTCACCGCCAGTTAGGCGAGCGCACGTTCAATAGCCGGGAGGGGTGAGGGAGATTGGAGATGAGGTCGGTTTGGGGGAAAGGAGGAGATGCTGCGGCTGAAGAGCAGCTTCTCTTTCCGCGCGCACTGATTTGTGCAAGGCCACCATTTGACTCAGGACGCGATCGGGAGACTCCCACCCCCCCTCCAGCCCCCCCCCGCCCCGGGCAGGAGGAACCAGCTCTTTTCCCCTCGTTCTTCCCCTCCCTTCCGCTTTCTGTTCCTATAGAAACCCTGAAATACCTCCAAGAAACCATGGCTGGGCTCCGAAGCTCCTCTCCGGATTGGTAGAAGGTGGGGGCGAGGGGAAAGGAGCGGCGTATCGCGGAGAGCGCACCATGCTGGGGCAGACCCGGTAGCAGCGGCAGCAGGAGGGAAGGCGCGCCCCCCCTCCCCCGCACGCGAGTTCCCATGGAGACTGGCTCTGCGAGTTGCAGAAGCTAGCTGAGCAGCACCTGTATGGGCCGCTCGCCTCGGGGAAGAGACGCCGCGGCTGACAGGAAGCACACCCACTCAGCCCTGCAGGACCACGCCACGTACCGGCACGCTGCCACCTCCGGCTCAGCTCTGTCCTCTCTTCCCCCACATGAGGATAGGTGATGTTGACTCAGAGAGAGGGGATGGTTCTGCAAGTAAGCAAGCTGACAGAACGAGGGAAAATGGACTTGGCAGATTCTCCACGAACGTTCACATTTGCTGACTGTGTGAGCTCCATTACGCGTGGAGGGGTGGGGGACAGGAACCCCAAATGTCTGCTTTGCTTAGTTCTTCTTCATTTTTCACATATCCCTGTGGCAGGTTTTTTTTAAAAAAATATTTTATTAAAAGAAAAAATTACACCAAATTTTTAAAAAAAGAAGAACAGAAGAAAGAAAAACAAACAAACATGAATAAAAGAAAAAGAGAAATATTTCAAAAGAGAAAGGAAAAAAAAAATCTAAGGAAGAGACTTCCCATCTTCTTTGTGGTATTTACACAGTTCTGTGGACAGAATTAATTTATACATGGTGCTGATGCTTTCTCCTCGACAAACATACCTCATGTATAAGGAATATCAAATGCTGAGAAGAAAGGGCAGGGAGTGCTTGGTCGTCTTCATGCTCTCCTTGTGAGCAGTTGAAGCATTGAGCCGGTTTCTCTTAACAGCCAAAGTCTTGGACCTGAGTTCCATTCACTTGTGTTTTAGGCAAGATGAGTTCCACACAAAGAATAGGCTTCTTCCTCTTCCTAATGCCACATATTAAGCATCAGAACATAAGTCTGTATTAAGCACAGCTTTTCCTTTTTCTGACATCAATGTTCATACTTAGAGATTGGAAGTTTTCCATGCAATGTTGCAGATCGGGTCTGCAGTGAAGTCCTGCCCTTTCTGCATATAGAATTTCAAGTTGGCTATACATGGAGTCCTCTTCCTATGACTAAAAGGATTATGAGTTGGTCTGATGCAGAAAAGCAATAGTTATACTTTGTTAGTGTAATGCATGATCTCCTCTCCTGTAAACACAGTTTTATGCTATTATAGACAATATGATGGATTATGATTGTATGTACTTTTCACGATTTTTATTCTAGAATAGTGTAAGATTGTATATATGATTAAAAGAAGCACCCACACCTTTCTGTATTGAATGTATGACCATTGACAATTACATGTGACAAACTCTTTTAATCTTGCTTTGGTGTGTGTGTGTGTGTGTACTCATACAATACCATTTGTGTGTGTGTGTGTGCACGCGCATATACATGCATGCGCACACACACACACACATACACAAATGCCTATTCCACAAGGTATTGTATGAGTCCTGGGGACTGGACTGAAATTCTGTATAATGAAGCTTGTACAATAAACAGACTCAATACCACTTTAGATGATTTCTCTAAATCTCTTTTTTCTGCACCAAGAGCATTTTCCCCGGAATTCAAAATCTCAGAATTAGGTAATTCTAGGCCTAGGTGTATATGCAGCTTACGGCGCAAGTTTGACAGATATGTATGATATTTTTAATCCTACCTAGAACCTAATTCTAGAATTAAGGAAAAGCTTACAGAGATTGATAGTATTTTTTTTCTCTCTCAAACTGATAGTTGGCCTGTTTTTAGTTAATAGCCTTTGGTGTTTTGTTTTGTTTTGTCTACTTTATTTTATGTCTTTATAGGTGGCATTTCACACTCTTTGTTGCACCCAGAAGCAACAAATTGCAGCTTGTGGAGCATTTATGACACATGGCTTGTAAAGATGCCTTTGGTTGCATTTTGGTTTAGCTGTAGCTCCTGGGTGGTCTTCAGGGGCAGCTTCAACATATTACAGTAGTCAAATTGTGAGATGACTAGGATATGGGTAACCACATGAAGAGTTTTCTATTCTAACAATGGGCGCAATTGGCACACAATATAAACCCATGCAATGATCCTCCTGGCCATAGTTACCTCCTGTATTTTCAGCAGTAATTGCAAGCCTAGGAGAATTCCCAAATTGCATACTACTCTTGAATGGGGAAGTGCCATCTCATCCAACAGCAAGAGTGCATCATGTTCTAGCTCCACATCATGTTTCTGCCTTACTTAATTATTGTCTCAAAGTGCTCTCCATCCTCTTCTGGTCTTCATTATATTTGAACAATTCTATTCAGAAGTACAAAACTGCCAAATCAAACTCATGTTCTCCAGTCTCCCTTTGTCTTTATAAAAATCCATAAATCATCTTCAACAACCACTGCTGTCTGCTCCATTATAGGTAATCTCAGTTACTCAGCAACTGTTTGAAGTTGTGACAATGCTGAACAAGTGGTACTTTCAATCAGTCCTCCAAGTTTGGGCCTTACAGCAATTCTGCGGTCACATGATTATAATTTGGGTGATTGGAAAGCAGCTCACATTTATTATGGTTGCAGCATCCTGCAGTCAGATAGTAACCATTTGTGACCTCCCCTGCTTGCTTTCTGCAAGCAAAGTCAACGGGAAAGCCAGCAACACCCCATCCCCTGCCTGTCTGTACCTGTGTGGCACCACAACACCTCTTCCCAATCTGTCTATTGCTTGCATGGCACTGCAGTATTCTCTCCTCTACCCAGTGATACTTCACAGAAATCACCTCCTACTGGCCTGCTCATGTGTCATCTGGAACTTATAATTTCTTACTGGATTTGCCATTCGCTTTGCTTTTTCGAAGCAACAGGAAGTTGCAAATCATTGTCATGTGAGGTCCTTGCTTAACAACCTATGATCTTTCCTTAATGATGGCATCATTTAGTGATGACTGTTGTAATTGTCATCGCTAAATGATGTGACATCCCTTTTATAGCTGCATCACTTAACCTGCCTGTACCTGTGTAGTACTGTGTACTGTGCACTGTGTAGTAATTGAGAACTACCTGTATAGTTGTCAGGTATTTTGCAAACCTCAATATTCATCCCTACAGTTCTGTCTGAAGCTCCACCACTTATACCAACATGGCATCTGATAGAACTTCTGAACAACAGCAACAACAACAAAAATTGTACTACACCATCTGGAACCACTTGTTTCCTATTAGAACTGTTTTCTAAGGAAATGTAAACTAAGATTTACTTCCCTTACCAGCCAAGAAGGTACAAACTGTTTTGTTTGGGTGCCTGCACATATTCATGGATTGTGAAGAGTGGGTAAGAAACATAATTGAATGTAAGTTCATCACAGTTTGCATTATTTGGAATTATTTTTTAAAAAGTCAATATGTAGCTGATAATACATATACTCATCTTGTTAAGTATAAGTATTTCTATACATACACACATCCACAAGTCCTGAGATATAATTAAGCAGAACTTGGTCATTATGATTAATTTGTAACAAAAGAAGTTTAAAAAAACACTCAAATGTATTATTCTTTATTAGATCACCTGTTGAAGGTCACCAATTTCAGGAAATATTCATAAAATTGCAAAAATGGCTCTTTTATTTGATGTATCTATAACAATAAAATATTGTCATGGAGACATATTCTAAGTCCTTGTCTCCATTGAGAATCCATCATGCCTTCTCTGAGAAACTATTTTAAAAGAGATTACCAGAAAAATTGGTGACCTACAACACAGGCAGAATTGAACTGAGATTCATCATGTGCATATGGTGACTAATCCTTTCTATTAAAAACTTAGCAGACTAACAATTTTCATATTATTATAGCCATCACTACTCACTCAATAATTATAATCTAAAGTACTATTGAGATGGGTCCTCTTTGCTTCCTCCAGGTCTGCCCTGCTCAGATTCCTACCAGCAATTGTTTTGTAGTGCATTATTCCTTTCTTTCAGATTTTAGTTTAGGTTTCATAATTGCATCAATTAAATACTTAATAGGTTCAGGGACAAGAAAAAAAATTGCAGTACCAGTTAGTTTCCAAGTAAATGCACTATAAAATTTGGTAAATATAGAAATGTATCAAAGGGGAATTTTGCTTCAATAAAGGTTTGTAAGAAGTGTTGAAGCAGCTTTTATGAAATGCACCCTTTTTCATTTCTAAAAGTAAATTTTACACAATTTTTTAAAAACAAAAATGAGGCTGCTTTGTTTTTATTTTTCCAATACAATATCTAGCAGTTCCAATAGCCAAAAAAGGCTTCTTCTGAAATTCCTGAATTATACATGTTACATTAAAGTTTTTAAGTACAATAGTAAGCACCAATACAAATTAAACTCAGAAAAAGAAAAAGAGGTAAGGAGAAACACTAAACAGTGCAAAGAAATAAAAAAGGAAAAAGCAGAATAAAGAAAAAAATATGTAAAGAAGTAACTTCCAATCTTCATCATAAGTAATAAAAATTGATCTCACCACCTCCTATAAAGTTACAAGCAAATATTTCTTCTTCCCATAACTCATCCCTTCTATATGCAAAACCATAAATCCTTAGTTTTTGTAGTCCCAGTGTCAGCAAAAAGTCTGTAAAGGGTAACCAGAGCTGAATAAAGTCTTCCTCAAACTACAATAACTTTATATTCCTTTCTTTCTTTACTAACAATCTTGATCTTTAATTTATTCAGATGTTGTCTGCCCCCCCCCCCAAAAAAAAGCTTTTTCGAGGCTTTAGCAAGCCTCTTTTGTAAATTGGAAAATCATTATCCAGGTCAATGTCTTGTCTTGTCTTTTGTATTTCTCCTTTGATTTCCAAAGCTATAACCAGCTTCTTTTGTGTATCCAGTAAAAAGTCCTTATCAGGGCCATCCTCTTGGCTCTTGTAATCCACACTTTTTCCTGTCATTTGTGTTTCCAATTTCAATGCCTTGCCTATTTTGTAATTCACAGTATTTTTAATCCAATATTGTTTATTCCATTGTTGCTGTATCAAACAAAATTTGTTTCAAATTTGTCATCCCTTCATTAACATCTTTTAGGCATAGTCTAGCCATAGAAGCAGACATCATTACTGATATTTTGATTACTAATTTCTGGTACCATTTGAAGATCTTCTTTAATATTTCAAATGAATATTTCATGTCATTTTGTAAATCCTAATCCTAAAAGTATTTTTTCCCCTGTCATGTCTG